GACGTCAAATTAACAACCCTAGTTTCTCTTCCCCATCAAGAGAGAGACGGCACACTAAGGAATCCGGTTTTAGGGTGATTTGACTGAGGAAGACTACAAACTCCAAGAGACAAGATCAAAGTTATTCCGCTGCAATGGAGACAGATATGCCTCCACCTTTATGTTCTTATTTCTTTATGATTTGGTATAATGGAGTTTGGAAAATTCTAACAATTAAATGAATGCATGGTAGTTAATATTAATGTAATATAAATACAAAGTATATATGAATCAACAATTATATATAAAAATTTGGATTCGCTTTTTTTGGAGTTGCTGCAAATAAGTTATCTGCTATAAGTTTAATACGACGTTGTTTTGGGGCGAAAATCATGGTATTTTTGTAATTTTAATTTATTTCAGAGTTATTATAATTTTTATAATTATAATTTTCCAATCTTTCAATTTCAAAACGACGTCATGTTGCAAGTAAATGCAGATAAATTATCTGCATTAACTGCAGAAGTATTTTTATGTAAAAATTATACTAAAATATTTTTTGATCTTTTTTATATGTACAAATATTTTTAATTGTCTCCATCATCTGTTGCAATTCTGTAAGACAGGCATACAATTGTTGTGGAATCTATAGGGACGAGATCTACAATAATAATTATGCGGCGTAAATATTAAAAGTATAACACTTTTGGCCATTTTATATGACAATTATTTTTTTTTATTTTTTTTATTTTTTTTTATAACAATTATTTTTATTTTAGTCCGTACACTTTATTGTGTTATAACTTTATTAAATAGTATTATAATAACAACAGATGCCGATGATTAAGTTAAAAATAATTACAATTAAGTAGAAGAACCAACTTAAAAATATATTTGAACTAAAAAGTCCCACTTGTCTTCCTAAAAGAAAAGTGGTGTACTGCTATACATAAAAAGTGATGTACCACCTTTCTAGGTGTAATTAATTTTGTCCTAATAAATTGGACAACCCTATTATAATTGAAGTACCTTTTAAAATACATTCAAATCTGAGTGAATCAGGTGCAGGTATCGTGTTCAAATTTACCTTTCCTGCTCAAATAAATGTAATTAAGATGTCTATTATTTTTAATCAAAAAGTTTAGCACTGAGTTTGGAAATTTCAAACGGAGATTATTCAATATTGTTGGGAAAAACTCGGTTCTCTCATATCGGCTCAGGGGCCTTTGCGGAAGTCAGTAAATGAGATCCTCGATCTCAGATCTCAGCAATACCTCGGCCTGAATTTCACCAGGTCAGGCAGCGCAGCGGAAAAATCAAAACGTAAACACGGGAGAGAGAGAAGAAGAACACAACTAGATTTAACGTAGGAAAACCTTCTTCAATGAAGAAGTAAAAACCCACGGGACCTAGTCCAGATCAGAAATCTACTATGAAAATAATGGTTACAAATAATCAGAATCACTAATGTGGTGGTTAACTCAACCTCTCCAACAATGGCGATAATCAAACCTCCCTAGAGATGTTTCACTCAAACTCTCTCTAGAGATTTCTCAAATGCAAAGCATAAAACTTTGCTCAAACAATCAAATAATTATCTCTCAAATTTTCTCTCTCTTTTTCTTAACCTAGCCTCCACCCCCAATTAATGAATATATAGAGGAGGTGAGATCTAGGGTTAGGGTTTTTAGGAATCCCCTCAAATGGGCTTTGGCTTAGCATTGAAGGAGGAAGCCCAACAAATCTCCCCCTCCGACTTCAATGCGTCGGCTTCAGCATCAATCTGGCTCCTTCACAGCAGTCTTCAAATTTCCTTGTTGGAACCGGCTTTGTCATCATGTCGAACCAATTTTGGTCAGTGTGCACTTTGACGAGTTCGAGCTCTCCACCTTCCACCACATCCCGGATCCAGTGATACCTCACATCAATATGCTTAGTGCGGGAGTGATAGGTCGAATTCTTCGCAAGATGGATTGCGCTTTGATTGTCACAACTCAGCCCGTACTTGTCTTGATCATAGCCGAGTTCCATGAGGAACTTCTTCATCCACAGCATCTCTTTGGTTTCCTCAGTAGCGGCAATGTACTCAGCCTCAGTTGTCGCTAGTGCAACACATTTCTGAAGTCTTGATTGCCAAAAGACAGCTCCTCTGGCAAATCTCATCAAATATCCAGTCGTCGATTTCCTCGAGTTGGCGTCTCCCCCTAAATCAGAATCCGAGTAGCCTTGCAACTCGGCTTTGCCTTCTCCAAATCGGAGGCATAAATTTGTCGTACCTCGGAGGTACTTGAAGATCCACTTCACTGCTTCCCAGTGCTCTTTGCCGGGGTTTGACAAATACCGGCTTACCATTCCAACAGCATACGCCAAGTCGGGTCTAGTGCAAACCATTGCATACATCAAGCTTCCGATAGCGGATTGGTACGAGACCTTCATCATCTCATCTTTGTCTTCATCAGATCTCGGACATTGCTTCTGGTTCAGCTTTATGTGTCCGGCTAGGGGGTGCTAACTGTTTTGGTTTTGTCCATGTTGAATCTCTTCAGAATCTTCTCAATGTATTTCTCTTGACTTAGCCACAGTAGCTTCTTCTGTCTATCTTGGATGATCTTGATTCTGAGAATCTGCTTTGCAGGGCCGAGGTCCTTCATTGCAAAGGACGAGCTCAACGCCTTTTTCAGGGAGGCTATCCTCAATTTGTCTTTCTCTACGATAAGCATGTCGTCAACATACAACAACAAAATCAAAAAATCTCTGGCCTCATACCTCTTCACAAATACGCAGTGGTCGGCTTCTGTCTTCTCAAACTTATGATCAGTCATGAATGATTCAAATTTCTTGTACCACTGCTGAGGTGCTTGCTTCAAACCATAGAGACTCTTCTTCAACTGACATATCAAGTCTTCTTGGTCTGGAGCTTGGAATCCTTCAGGTTGCTCTATATATATTTCTTCTTCTAAATCACCGTGAAGAAATGCTGTCTTCACGTCCATTTGTTCTATCTCAAGGTCCATCGAAGCCGCCATGGCTAACACGGTTCGGACCGATTGCAGCCTTTCACTACAATCCGGGCTTTGTATCTCGGCTTTTTCCCGTTCTCTTCATTCTTAATCTTGTAGACCCATCTATTTTTCAAAGCTCGTCTTCCTTTAGGCAACTCGATCAGCTCATAAGTCTGATTCTCGTGCAAGGACTTGATCTCGTCTTGCATTGCCTTTTCCCATTCTTCTTTCTCTGAGCTCGTCACAATCTGTTTAATCAATTTCATATCTATCTGCTTATTTTATATTTATTTATTTATTCAGCCTTTCATGGCTTAAATTATCATCCAAATATTGATTATATCATGTGTAAAATATTTTAAAGCAACCCATCTCTATATATTAACTTGAAGTAAATTATTTTAAAAATAATTTAAATTATTATTCTAATCTCTCATAAAAAGATTCATGTAATTCTTAACCTCTATTCTTTTAAATTTTAAATTCAAATTGTTTTGAATAAAGAATACATATCTTATTTATACTTTTAAATATATTTTTATTTTTATTTATATTTTTTAAACTCTAAAAAATTTATTATGCATACTTTTATAATTTTATAATCTTTTCTCTTTTTTTTAATTTAATTTTTTAAATTTTACTTAAATTTAAAATGTCTATCCAATATACGAAATATTTACTACTAAATTTTAAAATTGAAATTCTATGGATGTACTAAAGAAAAATAATAGGAGATTCCGTTAAGGATCTTTAAGTTTATTGCTTTAATTATAGTAAAATTGATTATTTATTCATTTCTATAAAATCATGAAATATAAGGATTTAATGATTGTTACACAATGTACTCATTGAGTATATGAAACATCATGTTCAATTTTCATATACATTGTATATATTAAACATAATGTTACTATATCAGTTTAATTTTTCGGTTTTCATTTTAATTTTTGGCGAGTTGAACAATTAAATTATTTTTTGACCCATTTTTATTATAAAATACGCTAGTCTAGTTTGACGTGATGCACACTACATTCATACCACTTTTATGTTTTTTTATGTTTCACTTTGACGGGGACATTTTGAACTTATGTATGTTTAATTAAAACAGATTTTAATTAAAACAGGGACTCTTATAGTAAGTAAATAAGAATATATTTTTTATTTCTCATTTGTTTAATTTAAAATATATCATAATCTTAATGCATGAAAAGATAAATAGATACTTATTTAATTTAAATACAATTCCATTTCAAAGCAAAATTGTTTTCTTTTTTTCAATTTAAGTACTTTAAGACTATCTGTTAAAAATTTACGATACTATTTACCAAATAAAATTACGATACGGATTCTTTTATTTTTATTTTTTTTGTCTGCAGTCTATTTTTTTTTTTTTTCACTTTTAACCTTTAACTATTTAGTCTAATTTTTTCTTTTATTTTTTTTCTTCATTTAGACATATTTAATTCTTATTTTTAATTTTTTTTAAATTTATTTTTTCTTGTAAATATTATAAGTTTTCAATATATTTAATTTTTTTTTCCTATTTTTTTATCATCAATTTATTTTCTTCTTTCAAGATAAATTTAATTAATTAATTAAATTTATAATGGTATTAAGGATTAGATTTGGATGAAAATGTATAAGGAGATCAATAATTCAAAACAAAACCGAGTTTTAACTCTCTCTTTTTAAACTTAAGATCTGTGGGGTTAGCATCGAATTAACTTTCGCATATTATCTCAATAAATTTACTTTTTTAAGAGTTAAATGCACTAATAATTTAACTTGTCATCCGTTTAGGTTTATTAATGTACGGCCCATATTGTTCTATAAAAGAAGAAATAGATTAAACTGCAACAACTATACTCAACAAAATATTTATTGTCCTAGGCGTATGAACTGCAACGTGTCACACCCAACCTCAAAAAACACTATGGCATTATAGCAAGTTGCAATTGCAAAAATATATAGATATATGATAAAAATAATAACAAAAAAAAACATTTTTTAAAAAGAGAGATAAACAGAAGAGACAAAAAGAGATGCAGATAGATTAAACAACACAAGGCAGAGCACCACAACGCTCATACAACACAGCTCATACAACACAGCTCGCGATGCTATTGCGGCTCAATTAACTATGATATCTGTAACACTAATCTCCTAATCCCAAGTATATATTTGTACTCAAAATACACGGTAGAAATAGTTATTGTCCTAATCCTATACCCGTAACACCAACACTAATCCTTGTCCCGAAATATATATTTACACAATTTCTACTAAATGCACATTGTGGTAGCAGTACAACGTGTTTGATATTCCTTGTCTATTTTTCTAGGGGCAGGGTTCAGAGCACACAAAGCTCAATGCATCTTAGTCAGTATCCAGCATAAGTAACCAGTTCTCCAATTGACTAGGAGGTGTAACTCTCTTCCTGACAAACATTTCAACAGTAGGACACTTTCTCTTCATCCCTCCCCTCGACCTTGACCTGAATTCTTCGTCAGCTGCTTCAAAATCCCCCTGTATCGAGGAAATTTCAATGAGTATATATTAATGCAAAGGATAAGCTATCATTCATCAGGAAATTTTCCACAAGACTAAGGCAAGGCAAGGCGAAAGAACTTACAAGGGTATAAACATGTTTCCCAGTTTTTTCATGGTTATCTCTGACATGTTTGTAAGCAAAGCTCATGCCACATTCAGGAAAGCAACACACAAAAGGTTTTTTTTGAAAGTGCACAGCCTTCTCATGCTTACGAAGATTAGATTTCTGTTGATGTATAAACCACGAGAGAAAATTAAAAGAAAGTTCACAATTGTAACTGAATTGGGAATTCGGTTAGAAAGTAAAACAAGCAGTTTTAAGACTAAGGAATCTTACGGTTGAGAATGTGCAGCCACAACCCTTAAATTCACATTGAAATGCCTCTGATGAAGTGCCAGCTTCATGTGTACGGAGGTGCCGCTTAATATTCTTCTTCAGTTGCTTGGTCCCACAAGTGTCACAGGTAACATATTGATGGCAGGAATTTATATGGGCTTTAAGGCATTGGGCATTAGTGAAGTGTTTCATGCAACCAGGCTCTAAGCACACTACATCTACTGACTCCAGCTTAACTGCAGAGTAAGGGCTTTCTTCAAAATTGGGCACATCATCTTACAGCAATCCATATAAAGAACGACTTTACAAACATCAAATGGAAAACATGTTAATTCATATTGAAAATTAAAAGGAAACTTGCCATGAGAATCTTCATGCTTTCGTAGCTTTGATTCAAATCTGAAAACCTTTCCACAGCCAATTTCTGGACATACATACTGCTTCTGACTTTGAACACTAGTTGAGGTAGTAGAACTGTCATCATGCAACTCACTGACATGTCTTTTCATATTGCTCAGGATAGAGAAGTCAAGGTTGCAATTCTCAATAGGACATTTAAAAGTTTTCCCTTGATGCTGTAGACTGTGACGAGTCAAGTGATCCTTTCTTCTGTAACTAGCCTGACAATCATTGACCGTACACACATATGGTCTCTGGAACCATTACAAAAAAGTGTTAAAGCTAGAAACAAAAAATCTGACAGGAACACCATAGTACTTTGACAAGAACAATACACGAGAACAAACTGCCAACCTCATTTTGAACAGAGCGTGACCGAGGCATCCTTGATGGAGCTTCACAGGAGGTCTCCCAACCTGATACTGATCCATCAAGTCAAAACATGCTGCCTCATGCATTTTGGAGTTCTTTCTCTGGGATCCAATGCTTCACACTATAATATCCATTATTTTCCAAAGATTTTTATGTCTTTTAAATTACTTTCCTGCAAAAACATGTATCTTCAGTTGATGCAACAATTAACAAAACCAAGTGTTTACATATAGCTATTTCTAACAGAAAACTAATATCTTTCCAAGGAAGAGATCACTCGTGCAAACATAAAGACATGCAGATGATTTTATACATATTTAGCTACATATATCAAGGGTTGTAGACCACCCAGCTCAATTTCTCCATCCACACAAAAATATTCAAATATATAGTCCCTATGACCAGAGTTTTAAAGTATAAATCATACGAATTCAGAAGTCCCAATATACATGTAATCCAAACACTTACATAATGATAACAAAAATATGGAGATTAAAAGATAGAACAATGTCAGGTTTATAATTAAACAAATACCTCAAACGAATGACATAGCATGTGCTGCAACAAGTAGGCATGCTTTTTGAAACTGGCACCACATTCCTCGCAAGTGTTGGATTTTACACCCTCTACTTCAGGATCTATTTCAACTCCTGTCTTTTCCACCTCCTCCTAAAATACATCAAAAGTCACAACAAAATCATATAAATATAAAATACATGGTTAACTTAGAGATTGAAAAACAGAAAAAAAAATATTTGGAATTTAAGACACTCTTAACCCATAAAAGAAAAACAAAAATCCCAAAACCATGAAATTTAAAGATACCACGTACCCCATATTCAGGTTGCTTAAAAAAGATTTAATTTTGAAGCACACAAAGTAAAAATTATAAGGAAAAAAAGTACCTTATGGTTAGAATTGATGTGAGAGGTGATGAGGGTTTTTTTGGACCTGCAGACGCCGCAATATTTGCAAAAATAGCGTCTGATATCTCTGAATTTGGGTCTTTCTTCACTTTCCACAGATACATCCATTTTTGGAGAAAGGTTAAGGGATAACTAATAAGAGACTGCAACGATTTCACTCTCCGATGTGAAGATGTGGCTCTTTTGGGGAGGGAATAGTTGCGGCTGAGTGATGCTGAGAATGCGAGAGAGGCTAGGGTTCTTAGCAATTGCGAGGCATCTATGTATATATATAGCTTTTAAACGATGTCGTATTGCCCAACGGTTCATTTTTTTTTTTTTGATTTTTTTGACATGACCCAAGATTCATTTATTTAAGGTGATGTAAGCCCAACCCTTCGTCAATCCCATAACCCAATACCCGACCCACAACTCACTTAGACCCAAAGTCCATAATTTTTTTTTTGATTTTTTTGACATGACCCAAGATTCATTTATTTAAGGTGATGTAAGCCCAACCCTTCGTCAATCCCATAACCCAATACCCGACCCACAACTCACTTAGACCCAAAGTCCATCCTAAAAATTAAAATACAAGAAACAGTAGCAAACACCCTAGTTTCCATGGCACCTTTACATGCGTTTACATTCCAATCGCTAGCCACAACCACGAAGAAACAAATTTGCTCTGTTAGAGTGTTATTGGTGTGACATTATTGTAAATTCGGGTTAATCTCGGATGTGGTAAATTTTCTTAGACTCTCGGGGCCTGTTTGGTGTGATGTATAAGACTTGATAGTATAAGCTTATACTATACGTTATGACATTTTCAATTGTTTGGTGTGACCAACGTATAGTATAAGCTTATACAGCAGGACCCCTTTATACATCAAAATGACGTATAACTTAATCCGGCCTAGGAGTGGTGGATTAGGCCTGATAAATGATTGATGTATTAATATTGCTTACAAGTACAATTCTCAAGAACTAATATATCATTTCAATATTTATATATTAAAATAATTTTTTTAATATACTAATTTTTAAAATATTGGAGGATATTATCTTATACAATATCATACCAAACGCTGAATAGTATTAAAATTTAATCAGGTCTTATACTATCATGTCTTATCTTATACTATGCACCAAACATGCCCTCAAGGCTTATTTAGTGTGACGTATAAGGCTTGATAGTATAAGCTTATACTATACGTTATGACATTTTCAGTTGTTTGGTGTGACCATCGTATAGTATAAGTTTATACAGCAGGATCCCTTAATACATCAAAATGATGTATAACTTAATCCGGCCTAAGGGGAAGGGATAAGGCCTGATAAGAGGTTGGTGTATTAACATCGTTGACCAGTGACCAGTGTAATTCTCAAAAATTAATATATTATTTTAATATTAATATATTATTTTAATATTAATATATTAAAATAAAAATTAATTTTTCAATGTATTAATTTTTAAAATATTGAATATTTTTATTTTTATAAAAATTAATTTATGTTTTGTACACACTGATCAATAAATTTTTATAAAAATTAATATCATATGACATTTTTTTTGAAGAATTATATAAATTCTTTATTAAAGGATATTTATTTTTATCCTATATAGTATTATATAGTGCATTATCAAATACTAGATGATATTATCTTATACAATATATTATTTTATACAATACCGTGCCAAACGCTGGATAGTATTAAAATTCAATCAGGTCTTATACAATCAGGCCTTATACTACCAGGTCTTATCTTATATTATGCACCAAACATGCCCTCAAGGCCTGTTTCGTGTAATGTATAAGGTCTGATAATATAAATTTATATTATACATTATGATATTTTTAGTTATTTTGTGTGATCATCGTATAGTATAAACTTATTCAACAGGATCTCTTTATACATCAAAATGATGTATAACTTAATAAGGCCTACAAGGGTAGGATTAAGCTTGATAAGAAATTGATGTATTAAACAATGTAACTATCAAGAATTAAAATAATATTTTAATATTTATATATTAAAATAAAAAAAAATTCAATGTATAAATTTTTAAAATATTTGAGATTTTTTTATTTTTATAAAAGTTAATATATTTTTTGGTTACGCTGATCAACATATTTCTATAAAAATTAATATCATCTGATAAATTTGGGAGAATTATATAAATTCATTATTAAAAGGTATTTGTCAAAAATATTTATTTTTATCCTATCTAGTATTATACAGTGCATTATCAAATATTGGATGATATTATCTTATATAATATCATGCCAAATGCTGGATAGTATTAAAATTTAATCAGATCTTATACAATCAGGTTTTATCCTATATTATGTACCAAACATGCCCTAAGGGCCTGCTTGGTGTGACGTATAAGGCCTGATATTATAAGCTTATACTATACGTTATGACATTTTCAGTTGTTTGGTGTGGTCATCGTATAGTATAAGCTTATACAACAAAATTCCTTAATACATCAAAACGATGTATAACTTAATCCGGCCTAAGAGGGAAGGATACGGCCTGATAAGAGGTTGGTGTATTAACATCGTTGACCAGTATAATTCTCAAAAATTAGTATATTATTTTAATATTAACATATTAAAATAAAAATTATTTTTCAATATATTAAGTTTTAAAATATTGAATATTTTTATTTTTATAAAAATTAATTTATATTTTGGACACACGGATCAATAAATTTTTATAAAAATTAATATCATATGACATTTTTTAAGGCTTTTTGACCCTTTTGCCCCTCATTAATTAATTAATAACCAATTTGCCCCTGATCCAGAACTATCCACCAACTTGCTCCCTTTTAGTCGACTACATTGCTTTTTTAGTCGAGCAAATGGTCAAAATGCAGAAAGTGGACTACAGCAAATTTAGTCGACTAAAAAATCATCTTAATCGACTACATTTTTGGGATATTTAGTCGACTAAGTAACGATAGTTAGTCGACTAAATATCGACGGATTTGTTTTTTAAAAACCCCCCATTCGGCAGAGGGGGAGTAGGATGACCTAATCGACTAAGGAGGCGGCCCAAACCCCAAATCCGCATGAGCAGCTCCCAAACCCTTCCCTCAGGCGTGTGGATTGCACCTTATACATTTTGTTCATGTATTTCCTTTAAGTCGTTGATGTCCCGTAACTTTTTTTAATGAATGCAGAATTGTTATGTTTTTTGGATCTATGTTATGTTGTGTAATGAATTGAATTCCATTTCAATATTGTATAACTTATGAATGGAACCTTTTTAGCAATTTGATCATCACGGCACAAAACAATATTGAACAGGTCACATTCGTCCATAACACATCACATCAAATCAGTATATGTGTTTAAAAAGGCTACATCTTGTATTGTTAACCGTAAACAAACGTTATGACAACATACGACTTCGTTTTAGGAATTTAATGTCCACATGGGTTTTTTGACTCGGAAATTATGCTCCCTAAGTCACACTCCCTTAGTGGATCAGTGTAGAGTGGAAACCAAGGGCAAAAAACATGTGTAATTCGGATTTGGGGTCCTAAACCAGCAGTTTAGTCGATTAACCTGTACTGGTTTAGTCGATTAACCTGATCCTGTGTTCTCAATTGCACAAATTGATAAGGTATATGATGCACATTGGTATCCAATGGGCAATGAGTTGTTGATTCCACAAATTGATGGCCCAACCATTATCCCAAATGCATCTTTGGTACGTGCACAAGGAAGACCCAAATCGTCAAGGATACAGAATGAGATGGATTGGGTTGAGTCTCAACCGACGAGCAGTCAGAGTAGATGTAGCCTGTGTAAGCAAATTGGTCACAACAAACGTACATGTCCTATGAGGATTCCCAATACAAGATGAATTTATGGGCATTAATGTTTTGATGGTTTAACATTATAGGCATTTATGGTTTAAGATGCTTGTATTTGATGTAATGTCATGTAACTGAAAAAAATGAACGGGTTGATGTAATGACGGTGCTATGTTTGTATTTGATGTCATGATATTTGTATTTGAAAAATATGAACGGGTTGATGTAATGATGCTTGTATTAATAAATTATATGTGTTTAAATTGTTACAACGCAGATTTTTTGACTCGAAAATTATGCTCCCTAAGTCACACTCCCTTAGTGGATCAGTGTAGAGTGGAAACCAAGGGCAAAAAACATGTGTAATTCGGATTTGGGGTCCTAAACCAGCAGTTTAGTCGATTAACTTGTACTGGTTTAGGACTAAACTGCTGGTTTAGGACCCCAAATCCGAATTACACATGTTTTTTGCCCTTGGTTTCCACTCTACACTGATCCACTAAGGGAGTGTGACTTAGGGAGCATAATTTCCGAGTCAAAAGACCCATGTGGACATTAAATTCCTAAAACAAAATTGTATGTTGTCATAACGTTTGTTTACGGTTAACAATACAAGATGTAGCCTTTTTAAACACATATACTGATTTGTTGTGATGTGTTATGGACGAATGTGACCTGTTCAATATTGTTTTGTGCCGTGATGATCAAATTGCTAAAAAGTTTCCAATCATAAGTTATACAATATTGAAATGGAATTCAATTCATTACACAACATAACATAGATCCAAAAAACATAACAATTTTGCATTCATTAAAAAAAGTTACGGGACATCAACGACGTAAAGGAAATACATGAACAAAATGTATAAGGTGCAATCCACACGCCTGAGGGAAGGGTTTGGGAGCTGCTACTGCGGATTTGGGGTTTGGGCCGCCTCCTTAGTCGATTAGGTCATCCTACTCCCCCTCTGCCGAATTGGGGGGGGGGGGTTTAAAAAACAAATTCGTCGATATTTAGTCGACTAAATATCGTTACTTAGTCGACTAAATATCCCAAAAATGTAGTCGATTAAGATGATTTTTTAGTCGACTAAAATTGCTGTAGTCCACTTTCTGCATTTTGACCATTTGCTCGACTAAAAAAGCAATGTAGTCGACTAAAAGGGGGCAAGTTGGTGGATAGTTCTGGATCAGGGGCAAATTGGTTATTAATTAATTAATGAGGGGAAAAAGGGTCAAAAAGCCCATTTTTTAAAGAATTATATCAATTCTTTATTAAAGGATATTTTTATTAAAAATATTTATTTTTATCCTATATAGTATTATACAATGCATTATCAAATACTAGATGATATTAACTTATACAATATATTATTTTATACAATACCGTGACAAACGCTGGATAGTATTAAA